CGCCAATAAGTCGTCGAGCTCGTCGATCGCGGCGAAAAATCGAGGCGACACGACCGCGTCGCTATTTTCTCCGCCGCGTCTCACCCGGACGGCCGTCTCCCCTCCGGCCGCAGCCGCCGGGGGCGCTTAATACTGCTTGGCATAATCCGGGCGCGGAAAGCCCGGTTTTTTTTTAGGGATCCTCGGCGCGACCGTCGCACCCTATGCGTCCGCGAATCCATCTCAGAGTCGGGAGTCTGTAGTCTGATATGGGCTTTAGGGTACGAGATGAAGAGAGAGAGAGATAGGCTCTGAGGGCCGAATCAGACTAGCAATTGCCGACTCGGCGTGGATCGGGATTGGCGATTGACGATTGTCCTCTAGCCAATGAGAGTCGATAAAAGTTGCTGGCTGCTCTCATTGGCCAGAAGACAATCGCCAATCCGATTCGCGTCGACAATCACTAGTCTAATCACGGTATAACAAGTATGCCCACTCTGTCTGTCGGTCCTTTGATCTTTTCGGTTTCGTTCACGTGGTATTCCGCCATTATTTTGGTATAAAACCCAGCACCGTATCAATTGCTCAAGGGATCCTGATTATTAGTGCCGTAACCAGAAGGGGTATACAAAAAGAGCATGTAAATATTGTTTTCAGCACAAGATCTTGACGATTGCACGCATTTATCCATTGCTTTGGCCTAAAATGATTGAAAAATTACTTTCGATTATGTTCTAACTAAAAATCCTTGGCGTGTAAATGCAAAACGATTAGAGGTTATACTTTAGCGAGACGAAAACATTGAAAATGTTCGAAGTCACATTAGTATTTTTGCAGGTTTTGACACTGCATTTGGTGTATCCTGTTTTCTTCATAATAAAATTATTAATATTATTTTAGTTTGCACGTGTTTAAACTGTCACATTACCACACATACAACATTCGTCTCATTAGCTCCATCAGAATAATGGCGGATGCGCAGAAAGGACCGACGCAAAACAAGACAAATGACAGAGTGGGCACACTAGTTATACCACAGTATAAGCAGTAGGGTCACTCACTGTCGGCACCTTTGACCTGGGCGTTCTCACTTTTCCGCCATGTTTTTATAAGCGCCAACGGCTAAAAGTGCTTGGTCCCTTTTCAGGATTGTATCCAGAAAAGGCGCATACAAACTGGCATACATTATTTACTGTAAATGGAAATGGCCTATGAAAAACATTGTTTTAATAAAAGTAATTAATGTAATTACTTGCTCCAACGTATAAACGTATTTACGCGTTATTCGTCAACACTGCGAATTTTTCAATGTCACACCGACTTTGCACTAACACACGTACAAAAATCCTGTGATTGGTCAGAATAAAAACATGTCGGATGCGCCGTACGGATCGGCGTGAACGTGAAACAAACGAACGAGTGACCCTACTGGTTATACTGTGGTCTGATTCGGCCTTAAGGGTCAGTTTCACGAACGTCGATTGACCGTTAACCAGAGTTCAGTCGACTCCCTGTCTTTGTCCAGCTTATTATTTAAGAAGAGGCAGAGAGGTCTGGTTTTTTGAAACACTGGGCCAGAATCAATTAACCTTTTAACAGTCAACCGACGTCCGTGAAACCGGGCCTGAAGGAGGAAAAGAGGACTCGAAGGGAATCCATAAAAACTAAAGTTAAATCCAAAACGTTTGTATCGCAGTCCCTGAATAAAAATTCACCTGACGATTCCAGAACGAGGGGCCGCGATCGGCCTGGTTACAGGGCGAGATAACGAATGCTTCCGAACGTTCCTCGCTTCATTCTAGTCTAAAAGCGGCATTGAGGGAATCCTCACTTTAATTCGCGTTCCAAGTACCGGGGTATTTAATAAAAAATCGAAACCTTGTCGCGCAACCGCGCGGGGAGGGGAACGTCTCGCTGTGAGTTTACCGTCGAGACAAAGCGCGTCTCCTCCCGGGTACTTTGTATATCGCGACCCGATTCCGCGCGATGTATCTACGGAGCGGGTCCCGGGCGTGTCACGCTGAACAGCGCTGCTCCCAGTCGCCGTCAAGTCTGTCGGGAGACAAGGGTGCGGATTGATCGAGGGCGCCTTTTAAATTCAAGCGCCGTTCGGGAGACGGTAAGTCAAGTTTCGCGCCGGGATTCGTTCAAAATGCATCTCCTCGTCGGCGCCGCCGGCAATCGCAATCGCAACAAGTTGTACACAATCGCGTCCGAAATCCCTGCCTGGAGCCAGAGAATGGGGAACGTTAATCTCCCGGATAAAAAGGTAACAAAAGCATAAAGAGCGGATGGCTCGCCGGCGATAAATTCGCAGTTAAAGAACGTTCCCTGCCTGCCCTTACCTCGGTGAAATATCGCCGGCGGGCGAGCCGGCTCCTCCTCGCGTGAGTGTGCGGTGGTGAGCGCGCGCGTAAAGCACTCCTTATCACGATGTATCGCGGCCAGATGTTTCGCGCCCTCGGAACGGAACCGGGCGCGGATTGACGGCGTTAACTAGAGACCCTGTAATCAGAGACCGGCCATAAGAGTTCGTCAAACTCTACGATCGTAGGAATCGCAGAAGAGTGAGACAGCCTACGTTTCTCTCTCACCCGCGGGAATTTGACGAACCCTTATGGCCAG